ATTGAAATACGAGGCGCGAATGACATTTGTTAGCGACTTCTCGTCACGCGGAATAGGTGCTCCCGTCAACCGTCGATACTGCCGCGAGCTTCTATAAGAAAGGTAAATGTCCCAATCACTGTCAGTGTCCTTAATACCGACACTTCTTTAATTTTACTTAACAAAATCGTAACGTATAAAAAATTTTGTACCAAAATTTTATTATCAAATTTGGAAACAAAGATACACGTACTTGTACATACCTGATATAGAAACGAAATTTCAGTGCAATTATTATATTTTCTATATTAGCGTATAAAAATCGTAAATTCGTATATAAACATCAGCAGTGTAGTCATTAATAATTGTACATCGTCACAGAGTGAGCTGTGCACAAGTATTTCTCTGTGAAATAAAAACGTTGCCGGTGACAATGTACTTTTTTCGAGGCCTGTGTAGCGAGAGAATCGAAAAAAGAATAATTCGCACGATCCAACTTAAACGTTGCCGGTGACAATGTACTTTTTTCGAGGCCTGTGTAGCGAGAGAATCGAAAAAAGAATCATTCGCAAAAGTATTATTCGAGGAGACAGGTAACGATCGAACGATAAAAATCGTGAACATTGTAACAGACGCAAAAAATAATTCGATATTTCCCTTTATCGTCGGACGCTTATCGCATCGTATCGAAGCGAGAAATCTTCAGGAACCGATCTGATGGCTCTTGAGAACCCGCGCGATACAAGACGAATAATTTAGATTCGGAAACACTGACGTCGAGAGTCGGTCGCGTCAACGATCGTTTCAGCGGTGAACTGGTCCAGGTGGAGGCGCCCACGAATTTCGATGTGGGTCGATGCGCGACGTGACGCAATGTATAACGTGTGCATGTATGTACAGTTTGGAGCTGCTGAGTTGCTCAGCCCCAACAAACGGCACATGGGGAAGAGGGATATTTCGCTGACCAATGGTAGCATTGTAAGACGCTACGTCATTGCTACGCCAGTACCACGTGATTACGCTGTTATCGTTCTGTCTCACTTGATCTCGTTTGTCCTGTTCTCTCCGAGGACTTTTCATAAGCTTCCAATACAGTGGACTCTAACTATATTGCCACTAAATATATTGCCAGGCGCGGTACTTCCCCTTCACGCGTGCTTTCAAGCGCACAAATTCGAACAGAAAAACGATCTAGCTTTTGTGCAGGCGCTAAGGTAACCATTATTAATGAGGTTAGTACAGTGATAGAGCTTGGAATTCCGAAGCCAATGATATTTCTTTCAGCCGCATACAATCATTAGTTTACGAAATATTTCATGTACAGGGCCTAGAAGCTTTCGAACACTCATCGATGATTCACTGTATTCCCTCGTTCGTCTGGTTATCTTCCAACCCCCCCCCCCCAGTGATCAATAACGTTTGTGCTCGGTGAACGGGACAAAATGTTCACTGAACGATTAGCAATTGTCGTGGATTACGTTTACGCGCATCGACAACGATCGACGTTATCCCTGCGGATCTTATCGATTGTAGATGTTGGAATAAAATCCGAGAGCAACGATTTCCTCTATCGAGGGTGTTCTCTCTGTGTTTTCGGTTTAGAACGGAGCTGGAAAGGCGGAAATAAATCGGCGGGAGCCGATTAAACGATCAACGATACGATTCGAAGGCGAGACGATAAGGGGTCGTTACGGTGGTTTCCGGTTATTTCGAGGCGTGTTCCTCTCCCTGAGTAGGTAGGCCTCTCCCCCCCCCCTACCCCTCCTCTGTTCCTCCATCTGGCTCGGAGTTAATCGATCCCGAGCCGATTCCAACCGGTCGTAACTTCTGGCACGGTCGACGCGGCGTGTCGTGGCTCCCCGCTTAACTAAGTCATTGGCTATTTATTACGGTTGACACTCCCGACGAAACCCTATACGCCGGCGTGAAATTTTTTTCGTCGCCGGTGGCCCCGACGTGGCCGGCGAACGAACGAGCTACCGTGTGTTCGTCGTTCGCCGCAGCCGCCAGCGACGACGTTGGGGGAACACCCGAAAACGTCTCTTTCGCATCGCGATTTCAATTCGACCGATGCGTGTCCGGGTGACAACCGGCCGAACGAACCACGTATACACGAACACCGACGAGCAAACATTGCTTCCTCTACGGGAGAAAGTGGGGTGGAATAAAAGTCTTTCTACCACTTAGTAAATTTATATCAAATACTGAAATTAATGGTAAATCAAATGTTGATTAGCTTAAATTTCAGTAACTCCCAAAACTGAATAGTAGGAGGCCCTTCCCTACGTCACTTTGACCTCTAACGGAAAAATAAATGTAGGGATAAAGTTCTCCTACCATTTGATAAAATTATTTCAAATACTGAAATTAATGTTAACCCGATTGGTCGTATCTCTCGGCATCTTAGTAACTATAAATCGATTGAATTGTACACTCCCCCCCCCCCCCCAGGTGTCGCCTCGTTAGCCATTTTTCACCTCTGCTAACGCGACCACATTATTGTGCACCGATCACTGTACATATTTTAACCGTCCCTTCATGACTGTTGGCGCAACTAATTTCACGTCTGTCATTCACGAATGTTCGATTTTCTTATTATTGTGAATTATTGTACAAAAACAGCTACACCCATTTACGCATAATGAATTAACAGGACACGGGAGGTGATGTCGCGCTACCGTAAACGTAAGACCGTGTTCACAAATGGGGGCGTACGAGGAACAGAGATGGATAAATTCATTATCCGATTAAAAGTTTCGAATAATAAAAGATATAAATATACTTCGCCATTCTGCGTCGATTAAACGTGGATATTCCAAATTTTTATAATCAAACGATACAGACTCCTCGATTATTGTCTGGCTTGTTCTACACGATTATTGTCCAGGCGTTATCCCCACCACTAGGGCGGGGAAAAGACGAATTTACGAAGCATTTCTCCCTACAAGATTATTGTCCCGGCGCGGACCCAAGTTCGGGACAATAATCGAGAGGAATCTGTACTCTTGAACTAGTAGACACTTGGCAAAGCAATTACTTAACACCAGGTTTACGGACACTTCTTATACTCCTATCTTGACAGACACGCGTCAATGAAACGACACATTTTCTTTAAAAAAGAACAACTTATTTAATACTCAATTTACAATGGCGTCAAACTGACGCGTATCCGTAAAGGTACGTACACCACACAGAGAATTTTAGAGAGTCCCGTAAACCTAGTGTTAAGTTCATTTAGAGGATGAGATATCGCTGCGTTTCACTATCATTCACTGTCATTCGAATAAAATCCGAGGGAAAGTGTTCCATCCTCGGTTAACGGAGTCACAAAGCTTTAGGAATTACCGATTGTATTTAACAAAATTTTCAACGCGTAACCGACCAAGCTGGCCCGACTCTGGTTCGCGAAGGGTGGGGGGGTTCGGTCGTAAGGGCGCGGAGGGGAGTAAGAGCGCGTGTCCAACACACGTGTGCACGCACACGACACGGAGAAAGAGAGAGAAAACAGAAAGATAGACAGAGAGAGTCTGCTGGTCGATTCATCCGCGCGCCGTTTACCCAAGTTTATTTGGGAACGACTGGGTCCGTTTCCGTGGGTGAATTGCACCGTGGCCAACCGTAAATTTCGTTCCCGCGTAGAATCTTCGTGGGCGATTATTCGCCGCGGGCGTCCAAGATACGCGGATGATGAAACCAAACACCTCGAGTCGAGTCTCGAGTCAGAATCCCGAGTCCCGAGTCGAGTCTCTATCGTTCGGACTGGACGTCTGGCTGGGCAAAAGAGGCAGAGAGAGAGAGGAGCAACGAACCACGGTCGTTTCCAGAATTCCGATGAGACACCTGGACTCGAAAAAAAGAAGCAACGTTGCCCCTTAAATCATTCATTAATAAACAAGATCCTTCGTTCTTCCTCCCCCTCCACTGTCCCCTCTTCTACATCCTGGTCCACACACCAAAAACCTCTCGAAACGATCGTTTTGTCTCGTCGATTCAAGGCTCTACCCCGACACGACGACACGTTTGCGGTTTCGCTCGATGTCGTTTCTCCAGAGTTTCGCGCTGCCACGCTGTTATCCGAGGAAACGGAGCAGAGGAGAGAAACACGGTCGAACTAACACACGCATACGAAATATCATCTCGAACAGAAGTATCGTTTTTGCCCGGTTTGAAATGGGAAAACGAAACCACCGGGCGTAGCGGCTCCCCATTATACGGGATCGGGGCAAAAACGAAAGCTCGTTTCACGGGTTAAACGGAAAAGCGTGAAAAAACCACACACACACACACACACACACACAGCCGTCGTCGACGTTTTATCTCGGTAACGAGCTCGCGGTGGAAAGTTTTCCGTCTCTCGACCACCCCCCAGTTTTCCATAACCCCTTGTATTGTCCTTCGTAATTCGAGACGTGCTTAATCTTTCGAATCCTATTACCGATCCCGGGTAACCATTAAGATTTCTCACCACTAACGAGAAGAACCGTAGTGGCGTCGATCTCCCGTTGGTTTTTCACGTGCCTCGTGGACATTTATCGTGAACGTGGCAAGAATATGGTAATCTAGATTGATATTCTTGTGAATCTTCTTCTAACTCTCTCTACGCCTAATCTTCTCGTGCATACATCCCTATCTCATATATATACAGTAATGTCTCGATGAGTGCAACGGACACAGCATCCGCTTCGGAGCATTCGTGACAAGGCGGAAAGGTTTTTAGCCCCTCATAATATTCGTTTCCTGCACGAACCGAGCCTCTGCTTAGCTTCCGTTTACTCTGTTTTCATTGGTCCCAGAGGGGAACCCCTTAGTACTAAGTATAACGCTGTTCGTGCCGCATTTATCGAGGAATCACTGTATACACTAAAGTAAGTTTCGTTTCTAAGGGCTCCGTGACGAAACGTAGTTCCCCAGTCGTATCAGTTCGTCTTCTTGGATCACTCATGTATCCTTTCAAGCATTATCTATAGAATGAGGCCGATCGAATCGAACGGAACTAATCGAGGTATATATGCTACACTCACCGTGTTGATGCAACTTCCCGCCGCCGACGGCCTGTTGCTGTAATTGTCGATGATGATGGGACTGCTGTTGCTGCTGCGACGCCGCTGTCTGAGACTGCTGCTGCTGCTGCTGTTGTTGTTGTTGCTGCTGCTGCTGCTGTTGTTGTTGTCGAGAATCTCGAGCCATAATGGCCGCGATACTAAAGTCGGTGGCGCACTGTCGGTTCGAATTGCAGTTGTTGTTCAGATTGTTCAAGAGGCTGCTGTTCGGCGACGGGCTGGAGCTCTCGTCGCCGTCATCCCGGGTACAACCGGGCGACAAACCGGCGGAAACCCCGGAGGCGGCGGTGCCCTCGGCCTGCATTTTTCGTCCAAGAAACAGATGTCGAGATTCCTCGTCGTCCTCTTCAGCGCTGCCGGCTCCTCCGCCGCCGCCGCCTCCTCCTCCGGCACCACCGCCTCCTCCACCGCTACCACCGCCACCCCCGAACGAAGACAGCGTCAATCCGTTTCTCTTCCTACCGGCGAGACCTCCTCGCGACTCCAGCAACATCACCTCACCTCCCCTCTGCCACTCCTCTCGTACCTGTGTGCCGTGCTTGCGCGTATATCTCGGTCGTTCTTTTCTGTCCCCCGGTTACGACTATTATCGAAGGTGGATGATGATCGGCGGTAGACTCGCGCGAGCCGCACGTGCGGGCCTCGGATCACTCTCGTGGACCGTCGTCAGTCTGTCGATGATCCTCCGGCCAGGAATCTTCGACATCCTAGCGGACGATATGTATATAGCACGCTAGACTTCGATAATCGTGGAAAGGACGAAATCGAATGGATTGTTGGCTTTGCCAGGATAGAACTCTGACAGCGAAACAGATACGACGCCCGCCACTGGCGGTTACGTCGAGCCTCGAGGTGCACGATGACGCGGGCGCATCGCGATCAACTTCGGCAACACCTCGCAAAATTTCCGTACAAACCAAGGATGTATATATATATATATGTATATATGTACGTGTATACAGCAAAACATACACGTAGTATCGTGCGGAAACACTTTGTCGACAATACACGGATCGTCGTTTTTCTTCGCACGGAACCGACGGGGCACTTTGTGTATCATCCGCGCGATCCCAAAGTCGGGAGAGGTCCACGACAATGCTGCGTAGTGCCAACGATCGTAGATCCGTCGAGAGAAACCTACCGGGGCTGGTACCACCGATTCTATTAAATCTTAACCGATTAGATATCCAGTAGCGCGCGCGCGCTCTCTATCCCGTGTATCGGTACCGAGATTGTGCGTGGAGCAAACGGTCCCCGCGGTCGAGCGGAGAGCACGGACAGAGCGAGAAACGAGAGAGCGACCGGTTGCCCGACAGACTGACCCGCGCCACCGGCGGTCGGCTCCTCGTTTCGGTCCCCACCCCCGGCGCTACACGGCGGCGGCGGCGGCGGCTCTCATCGGAGCTCGATCGTCCACGTCGCGAGCGAGCGAGCGAGGTGGGACGAACGAGGGAAACGGACGGAGAAACACATTGGGTTTAGACGGCCGAGGGGAGGTGTCGGGACGCCGGGGGGGAGAGAGCGCGCGCCACTCGACACGCAGTGGCAGGAGTGGCGGGGGCAGGAGGAGGGGGAAAAGACGGAGCGGTGGTGGCTCGGTGGGCGGATCCCTACGGTCTAAGCTCCGCCCGAACGATCAGCACCCGGCTCCTCCTCGCCCGCCTCTCTCACTCTCCTCCTAGGAATTCACCGAGAGAGTCCCGCGACCACCTTGTTACCGCTTCCGTACACACAGACACACGCACACACACACACACAATCTCTCCCTCTCTCACTTGTACACCTCGGTTCGTTCCGTCGCGTTTCCCTCGCGATCGCCCCAACCGGCAGCCAGCTGTCTTCCTACGCTGCGTACATACACACACATACTTACTGTACACCCGCGCGTATATGTATGTATACGGCTCCTGGTGGTGCGCTCGCTCACGGAGGATTACGTCTATGTTCGATTTGCCTTTCATGCCCGTCTCTCTTTCCTCGGTTTCCGTTCGTACCCGCGACGCTGATACTTTACCGATTCCGCTGGCAGCCTCCTCCTTCGTCGCTGCTAATGGTGGAATGGTAGTAGCAATACACACATACACACCGGTCACCGTGGCAAGTTTCTTTCCGCGATGGTGGTGATGGTGGTGGTAGTGACGATGGCGATGGCGGTGGTGGCGGTGGTAGCGGATACGTCGACGAAGGTGGTGGCGACTACTCCTGTGGTAGTGGTGGTGGTCGTCGCGGATCGTACGCGTCCTTCCCTCTCGCGGGTTCCCTCTTTCTCGCGGAGCACGTTCGTTTCTTCCTCGTTGGACGCACGTATAGTTCGATCGGACCGTCCCCCTTTTGCCCCGTCCAGGTTGTTTCTTTCGCCACGGTCGGCCTCCCGTTTCTCCTCGGGCTTCCCGATGCCCACGTCGGCGAACTCTGCGCGCAGTGGACGAGAAAGAGTACGTAGGTATATACGTACACCTACCACAAGGAAGGGTGGGTACGACATTATGGTTTGGTGCGCGGCATTCAGCCGTGGCAGCTGCCATTTTTTCGTACCGAGAGGAGGCAATTGCTGACAGGGAACGATATCCTCCTCCTCCTCCTCCCCCTCCGTGCAAACGCCGCCGCACAACCACCGCGCCCGCCACCGTTCCGCCCGCCATCGCGCTGTGTCCTCTATCCGTGTTCCTCTTGGATACCCTATTTTCAGTGTTTCAACCCGGCGGCAGGCGGCCCGTTTTCCTATCCTTGCGAACAAATTCTTCCCCATCTACGGAAAATCGACACCGAAGGTGCATGAATTCTTTTCATGAATTTCTCTACCTAGTAACTTCTTACTAATAAGTACACATTCCTGATGGTATCATTTGTTTATCCGTTCAGCGCCTTTAAATTCTGTTCTCCGTTAGATCTTTGTCCGTGGATGCACAGTAAATCATCCATGAGTGTTCGATGCCTTCCCGAGCACTGAACATTAAATATTTCCTAAACTAATTCAAAACTCTGTCACCATACTAAACCTAATTAAAACCCATCTCTACTTGCCAGTGCCGAAGCGTTTTCGAGCACTAATCGAGGATTTACTGTCTTTAGCTGTCTTTACTGTGTTCTAGCGACCGTAGAATCCACAATCGTGGGACCGAAACAAGATGCCCATCCACCCGCGAGAAACATCGCGAGCGATTAACAACGACGCGGGCCGGCGCGTTCGAAAATAAGAAGCTCCGTTCGCGGCGTGTCTGTTGCCTCTTCCCCGTGCAAAGACGTACGCGCGCCGCGAGCGGGGAAGGAAGACAGAGAGAAAGAGACCGGCAGATTGCTCCGGATATTATTATAATAAAGCAGGAAATTGCCTGTGCCCCGGCTAAATACGTAGGTAGCGATATATAACGTGGATCGCGCGCGATATCATCGGCCGGATTATTGTAATTATACCACAGTTTTAAGATCGATACAAAAAAACCAAAACACCTGGCCGCGATATTATTACGAGTTAGAAATTTCACGCGATTCAATTCCGTTATTATACCCCTTCTTATATTTTTCTCTTCGAGGGGAAGGCAAAACCGCTATCCATCTTGAAACGCCCCACGTTGCTCCTGTTCGCGACCCTCTTCGCGCCAGGTTGAGAAAAGTCTATGCACAGGGGCCCAACAGCTTCCCCGATGGCAGTAGTTTTGCCTCCGTTTACGTCGCGATTCGGTCCATTCGTCTCGTCCCCCCGACCCCTCCCTCCAGCCCCTCCCCCAGCATCGATCGATATGGGCCCGCCTGTAACCGTTTACGTGGCATGCAAACTCAGCGTTATAAATATCGGTGGCTGAACGGCTCTCGACGGCGACATCATCGTTCGGAATCGACGTGACGATCCCGAAAATAAAAAACATTCGGCACAGAGAACGCTGGGCGATCGACGCTGCAGCGATTTTCGTTTTCGGTACCACTGGTGGCTCGTGGGACCATGGGAGACAGAGAAAAGATGTCATTTTTCAAGAAACCGAAAAAAGTGTTGTCCTTCAACTTTTGATATTTCTCTGGTTGGTAGATCTATCTATTAAAGGATATTTTAAAATTAGATGGAAACAGAATAGCAATTAGATGAGTATGAATTTAGATATAGAATATTAGATGATAGAATAGCAAGTAGGAATTAGATGAAAATAGAAAATTTCTTAGCTTGTTATACACTTTTCACGCAGGGGTGCTATATGTAATTTGAAGTGATCGGCTGTGTCAAAGGAGAAACCGAGGCCGGGTGGAAACATAGCTTCCGGTCGTTCGGGACGTTTTTTCGACTGCGTCGCGGTTGTCTTCCAAACGAACAGCCTCGCGGACGGTTAACGGTCGATATTACGATAAAGTACAATCCGTCTGAATGCTCACGGTTCCAAAGAAAACCACTTCAAAGGTTCGCGCGTCCAAACAGAAAGCCTTCCACAGTTCCCCCACGACTTCCACGCAACCGACGCGACTTTATGTATCTTTAGACACCTATAGATACGCATGAATTTCTGTTCGACGCCTGATACGCTTAGTGGACGATATATTTAGTTGGTGAAAACACCGGTACACCTATCCGTACGTCTTTTCTTCTGATCTAACCATCGCTGGCAATGTTCTTTCTCAAAGTAACAGTTTTTTGTTTTTGCAAAAGTTTTTTAAAAATTTTTTTAAGAAAAAGTAAGAGTCATATTTCTGTAGCAATCTACTATTGTTAGATCGTGACAGTAATATAATTGTAGATGATTTTTTTAACAATATCGGGAAGTTTTTGATTTCTATGATCTCCGTTTTGTTATTTAAATTTAAAGATGAATATATATATATATATATTGATTCTAAAAATACTTTAATAAATGTTACATGAATAATATATTTGATTCTCTTTACGTTTTTCCTTAGCGTTACCGTATTGCCCCATATTCCCATTAAATTCGGTTGTATCGGTTCCGCAATGAAAAGCTCATCGGCCAAGTGGAGACGGTACACCGCGAGTCAATATACTTTTCCAGGCTGTCCATCGATACGATGGACCTCCCAATGGATCCAGAGGGGGGGTTCGGTTGGTTCGAGCCGATCGCGTCACGGGGTTGCCGTCTTCGTTTGGGGGGAGAGCCTGTAATCTGCTTAGCTCTGACGCTGATCCGGACAAATCGCCGCGCGGTTACGCGGCACTTATTCCTCGTCTTTCGTTCGCTCGCCACGAGCGCACCTTCTCTCTCTCTCTCTCTCTCTCTCTCTCTTTCTAGACGTTTTGTCGTACGAATCTGATCGATGACGTTGCCGATCTCCCTCGGAGTATCGAGACGAGAGTTTGCTCGTCACGGTTCGAGGATTTCACGGGTTTAAAAAGTGGGAGGTGGACGATCGGTCCGAGTTGTATCGAGTGGTATGATCGTTCGCCCTGTTGCGCTTCACGTTCCTTCCTTTCCGCTGGTTTACGTGGCGACCTCGCGAGACACGTGTCATTAAAACTATGCAATTTCGTAGTACAATTCCACGGTGGCGAAACTG